ACCTGCGCGCCCAGGACCTCCGCGCCGAGCGCTCCGCCGCGCAGGTAAGGCCTGGCCGGGTCGAGAATGGGGCGCTGGGCCGGCGCCGCACTCGGGGCTCCTGGGAACCGCGGCGTCAGCAGTCACCCCCTCCGCCTGCTAGTGACCTTGGGCGAGTGACTTGGTCTAGGTCTCCGAACCCTCGGCGTCCTGGGTGGTAAAATGGGGCGCTTCTGATGCCTGCTGCCGAAAGTTGCTCCGTTTCTCGTAGCAATAGTTTTGTCTCGTGTTTTTTTGTTTGTTTGTTTTGAGGCTGGAGTGCACTGGCCCGCTCGCGGCCACCCGCAGCCTCGACCGGCTGGGCTCAGGCGATCCTTCCGCCACCGCCCGGCTACTTTTGTTGATTTATTGCAGAGATGAGGTCTTGCCAAGTTGCCCAGGCTGGTCTCAAACCCGTGGGCTCAGGCAGTCCTGTCACCTCGGCCTCCCGAAGTGCTGGGATTATAGGCGTGAGCCACCATGCCAGCCTGTCTCGTAATTTTATTTTATTTTATTTTATTTTTTAGTTGGAGTCTCACTCTGTTGCCCAGGCAGGAGTGCAGTGGTACCCTAACAACCATCCCAGCATCGACCCACTGGACTCAGGCAATCCTTCCAAGTAGCCGGAACTACAGGCACGAGCTACCATGCCCGGTTAATTTTTTGATTTATTGTAGAGATGAGGTCTCGCCAGGTTGCCCAGGCTGGTCTCGAGCCTTTGGGCTCAGGCAGTCCTCTCACCTCGGCCTCCCAAAGTGCTGGGATTATAGGTGTGAGCCACTGCACCCAGCCTGTCTTGAGTTTTGAGACTTTACAGGGTACCCCTTTCCAAACATTTTGCTGTCCCCTCCTTGGCACTGCCCCCAAATCCTAAAGTTGTGTGTTTATTTAGTAGCAGCAGCAGTACTTATGGGGTTTTTTGTTGTTGTCTTATTTTTTTTTTAGAGATGAGGTCTTACTATGTTGCCAGGCTGGTCTTAAATTCCTGGGCTCAAGTGATCCTCCCACTTCAGCCTCCCAAAGTGCTGGGATGACAGGCTGAGCCACCACGCCTAGCCAGGAGTGGTACTTTTATGGAACTGATGATCCTTAGACTCCAGGTGCTGAAATGGAGGGCAGGGAGATGTTCTCCAGCCAGGTGGTGGGCCAACTCTCCTTGAGATACTTTATATCCGGCACCATCTCCACCTTAACTGCTCAGGCCCCCAGGGACCCAGGGTGAGTGAAAGGGTCATGGATTACCATGTGTCTCCCTGCCTACCTCCTGGGTCCAACCAGCGTTTCCCCTCTTAACTTTTTTTTTTTTTGAGTCAAATGTCTCACTCTTTTGCCCAGGCTGGAGTGCAGTGGCACCATCATGGCTCACTGCAGCCTCGCTGGTCTTGAATTCCTGGGCTCAAGAGATCCTCTCACCTCGGCCTCCCAAAGGGCTGGGATTAGAGGCACGAGTCATCTCGCCTGGCCTCCCCTCTGAACTTTTGAGGGAGGTGGTCTACAACTGTGGCTTCCCAACATGAACAAGCTGCACACTCCCCTGGAGGCTGTCCGGCAGAGCATTCCAGATCCAGGTCCAGGGCCCAGGGTCAGCCCTCTCCTTGGAGATTTGAGATAGACCCTACTAGGGTGAACACTGGCCTGGGTGTTCACTGCCCCCCTCCCAGAGTCCTCTGCTGTTGGAAGAGTGGGAATGAGCATGCCAAGGTGAAACAATTGCTCTGCATCCGGGTGGTTGTACACCCTAGGGCTGTCTGGTGTCCCCTCGGGACTAAAGGGAGAGGAGAGGTGTCCAGTGTTGGGAGACTGGAAGATTCCTCCTACATGGACCCTCAGCAAATGCTAAGCCTCTTGCCCTGGGTCTCAAGCTGGTTGGGGCTTGAGCCGACATGAGCCCCCTCCCTGCCTCCCAGTGCCTCAGTTTCTCCCTGCTGCCCCTTCACCTCCCGTACCTCCCGATGTTCTTAGGGTTATTGTGGAAGACTCCCCTGGAAAACATGTTTGAGGGGAGGGCCTGAACCTGGGGGCGCCAGGCCTCAGAAGCCCCTCCTCTGCTCTCCACAGCTGTCCCTGTCCAGCCGCCTGCAGCTGACCCTGTACCAGTACAAGACGTGTCCGTTCTGCAGCAAGGTCCGCGCCTTCCTGGACTTCCATGCCCTGCCCTACCAGGTGGTGGAAGTGAACCCTGTGCGCAGGGCCGAGATCAAGTTCTCTTCCTACAGGAAGGTGCCCATCCTGTTAGCGCAGGAAGGAGAAAACTTGGTGAGACTTCCTGACCTCCCACTTGGCCTGTGTTGTTCTGGAGAGCCCCCAAGCCTGGCCCTGCTCTGCATCCCTGCAAGGAACCTGTGATCTCTGGGCCTGTGCTGAGGATTATGGGGGGAAAGGAGCCCATATACAGTAGATGCTCAATAAATCTAGGCTTGCCAGGCATGGTGGCTCATGCCTATAATTCCAGCACTTTGGGTGGCCGAGGCAGGAGGATCACTTGAGCCAGGAGTTCCAGACCAGCTTGGGCAACACAGTGAGACCTTGTTTGTACAAAAAAAATTTTTAAATAGCTGGGTGTCGTAGCTCATACCTGTAGTCCTAGCTGCTCAGAGGCTGAGGTGGGAGGATCACTTGAGCCAGGGAGTTCAAGGCTGCAGTGAGCCATGATCATGCCACTGGACTCCAGCCTGGGTTATACAGCAAGACCGCAGTTCAAAAACATAAAATAAATGTGGGCTCTCTTCCTTCCCTACCACAGCAGCTAAGAAAGGCTGAGCGCCATAGAACTTAACAGTATGGGTTCTGAAATCAAGGTGTTGGGTTCGAGGATGACTGCAGCTATGTGACTTGGGACAACTCACAGAGCTTCTCTGGGCTTGCTTATTAGTCAGCAGGGATCATACTCTGGGTTACAGCGACAGCAGATAATGACATATGGGCACAGAGCTTGGCACCTCGTGTGCAGCTTCTCAGTACCTGGGAGGCCACATCTTCCCATTAGCCTCACTTGGGTATCCCTTACTCAGGACGGGACCCTAAGGGTAGGCAGGGGGCGCCTGGGAATGGATCAACAATGCCCAGGATCCTGCGACCAGGAGGGCCTGGAGCGTTGGTGTTTACAAGCCCCTGATGACTGCCCGTGGGTCAGACCCTCTGATCTAGACCATCTTCGTCTCCCCAGCAACAGCTGAATGACTCCTCTGTTATAATCAGCGCCCTCAAGACCTATCTGGTGTCAGGGTAAGTCGAGCCCTGGAGGCCCAGGCGGGCGTTGTGCTGGATCTCCTCTCCGGTCTCCAAGGAGGCCTCCCCTTCATTCCCATGTGGGAGAAGGTGAGGCTGCTGCTTAGAGATCCAGAATGGGCCGCAGGCATCCTGCTTGGAGAACCCACCTCCCCTCCCCCCCTCTGGCAGGGGACTGTTCCTGGTGTACACCCTAAGGCCCTCTTGCCACAGGAGGAACAGAGCCTGTGTGGGCCAGGCCCGGCTCCAGGCTGCCCTGGGACGGGCCAGGCTGGGCTGGTCGGCCAAGGTGGATGAGGTGGGGGTTGAGGGAGACTCTGGCTCCTTCCTGAAGGCAGCGCCTAGAGGAGGTCATCGCCTGCTACCCACCCATGAAGGCCGTGAATGACCAGGGCAAGGAGGTGACTGAGTTCTGCAACAAGTACTGGCTCATGCTGGACGAGAGGGAGGCCCAGCGCATGTATGGCGGGAAGGAGGCCCGGACGTGAGTGGAGCTGGGGTGGGGGGGGGATGCAGGGCTTTCCCAGAGTGCCTGGGCAGCGTGGGAGGCCGGGAGGGCTGGGCCGCGAGAACACGCACCTGCCCAGCCCCCACCTCCCACCCACGAAGGGCACATTCTAGAGAACGCGTTCTGCCCCCCACACGCCCTGTGCCGTGGCTCAGGAAGTCCCCCCCACACCCGCCCGGTACCCTTCCTGTGCCTGCAGGGAGGAGATGAAGTGGCGGCAGTGGGCGGATGACTGGCTGGTGCACCTGATCTCCCCCAATGTGTACCGCACGCCTGCCGAGGCCTTGGCCTCCTTCGACTACATTGTCCGTGAGGGCAAGTTCGGGGCGGTGGAGGGCGCCGTGGCCAAGTACATGGGTGCGGCTGCCATGTACCTAATCAGCAAGCGACTCAAAAGCAGGTGATGGCACGTGTGTATGAATGTGCATGTCTGGGGCCTGCTGTCCCCAGGCCCCCAGCAGGACGCGCGGCGGTGATCCCATCACACCCCTGAGGAGCTGGGTGGGATTCTGAGGCCCAGGGAAGGCTAGAAACCTATTATGGGTCACTCACACCTGTAAGCCCAGTGTTCTGGAAGGCTGAGTCAGCACGACTGCTTGAGCCCCGGAGTTTAAAACCATCCTTGGCAACATAGCAAGATCCCATCTCTACCAAAAAACAATACAAAAAACAAACCCAAAAGACCTTATTATGATCACTTAGTCAAGTCAGCACCTGGACCCAGAGCTCCTGGTCACCTCTCCCCAGGGGCAGCAACACTGGCCTCAGAGCCCACAAGTCTGGGCCCCCGCCTGGTGCCTTCCCTGAGTCTCTCTCCCTGTCGGGTCTCCTGCCCCTCCTGAGCTGTGGTCTCCCCTTTGGGGTAGATGCTCACTGAGGCCTCTGCCCTTACCTGGGTGCTGCCCTGGCTGCGGGGCCCCCCTTCCCACCTGGCAGGGGAGTTGGGAGTTCCCCTGTGGACCTGCTCTGTCCCACCGCAGGCACCACCTTCAAGAAGATGTGCGTGAGGACCTCTACGAGGCAGCCAACAAGTGGGTAACTGCTGTGGGCAAAGACCGGCCCTTCATGGGTGGCCAGAAGCCGAACCTCGCTGATCTGGTGAGTGTGGTGGCAGTGGGTGATGGCTAGCTGAGGGGCCCATCCTCAGGGTGGAGGTGGTTGGCCAGAGGAACCTGCCTCTGTCTGTTGTCAGGTGGAAACCCAGCTCTGAGCGGCCTGAGGCATTGGTTCCCAATCTTTTTGGCGTCAGGAACCAGTGTTGTGCAGATAATTTTTCCACGGATGAGGAGATGGTTTGGGGATGATTCAAGCACATGTTTATTGTGCACGTCCTTTATGTTATGATTACATTGTAATATATAATGAAATATTTACTATGACATTATTTGATATGAGTCTGCAAACACTTGATTTATGATGGCCACTGCGCAGCCACACCTCACTGCAGTGCTAGTCTGTATTTGAGCCACCCCCCAGTGCTAGCATCACCTCCTCAGCTCCACTTCAGATCATTAGGCATTCGATTCTCATAAGGAGCACGCAACCTAGATCCCTCGCTTGTGCAGTTCACAGTAGGGTTCTGGCTCCTGTGAGAATTGAATGCTGCAGATCTGACAGGAGTTGGGGCTCAGGCAGTAATGCGAGCGTTAGGGAGCAGCTCGCTCGCTTGCCCACCACTCATCTCCCGCTGTGCGACCTGGTTCTTAACAGGCGTACTGGTCCCTGGCCCAAGGGTTGGGGGCCCAAGGGTTGGGGACCCCTGGCTTAAGGAGAAAAACCAACGACCAGGAATCCTCTTCGTTTGTGTAACTGATAAGCTCAGCGAAAGTGCTAGTTTCTGGCCTGGCTGGATCCAGAGGCCTGGGTGGGTTACCAGGACTCCCTGTCACCATCTCAGCGCTGCCTTCCTCAGAGCTGGCTTCAGTCTCAGCAGGTTGGGCCCAGTGTCCCAGGCCTTCTCTGACAGAAGCCCTGGGGTGACAGCTCCCTGGCCTGGCCTTACTGTCCATCCTGGGAGCCATGCTCCTGCCAGGACGGCCTGAGCCATGCTCAGGGCCTGAGGGTGGGGAGGGCATTTAATCTGGGGAAACATGGGGAGGGGGCTTGTTGCCCAGTGAGGCGGTGTGGGTACGAAGCAGGTAAAAGCCACAGCCACCTTATCTGTTCATTGAAATCCCCATGTGAAGAATTGACCCTTAGTCCAAGTGCAGTGTCTTATGCCTGTAATCCCAACATATTGGGAGGCTGAGGCAGGGGGATTGCTTGAGTCCAGGAGTTCAAGACCAGCCTGGGCAACATAGCGAGACCTTGTCTCGACAAAAAATAAAGTTAGCTTGGTGTGGAGGTGGACGCCTGTAGTCCCAACTACTCAGGAGGCTGAGAAGGAAGAGTCACCTGAGTCCAGGAGGCCGAGGGTGTGATGATCCACGATCATACCACTGGACTCCAGCTGGACAAGAGAGACCCCCTGCTCAAAAACAAAATCATGATCTCTGAGGGGGCGGGGGAGAGACAGGCCCCTGGGCGCCCAGCTGGTAGGGGACCAGGGCGTGGCGGGTACCCCTGTGTGGCCTTGGTGCTCCTATCCAGGCCCGGCTGCGGTGACACGGTCCCATCCCACACCCAGGCTGTGTATGGTGTGCTGCGAGTGACGGAGGGCCTGGAGGCTTTCGACGACTTGATGCGGCACACGCGCATCCAGCCCTGGTACCTGCGGATGGAGAAGGCTATCGCAGAGGCCTCCCCAGTGCCCTGAACGTCCCCACCCAGAGGAGGGGCAAGGCAGCGAAGACGCCAGTGGTGGGGGCCAAGGCCACTGCACATGGTGATGCTGTGGGGGGCGGGCAGGGTCATCCTGCTTCTTGCCACCCCCACCACCCAGCCTCCAACACTGAATGCTTGCCAGGGCCCTGGGATGCTGGGAACAAGGCCCGGGTTTATTCACAAACCCCTGAGGGTCATGGGGGGCAGGCTACCTCCCCCTCCCTCCCCTGGCCTCCCCAGTCTCCTGCCCTTCTCCTGGGGCCCTCCGTGGCTGTCCCATGATTAAGCACTGTGGGTGGGGTTTGTCTGGACTCCGCCCTCGGCCATGGCCACACCTTGTGGGCAGGGGCAGCCTGAACTCTGACCCTGACTGGGCAGTAGGATGGTGTGTTTCGGGGAGCACCCCAGCCCTGTCTCCCCTAGTTCTGGCTCTTCCCAAGCACCCCCTGGAACTGGGTCATGTTTGCAATAAAGAAATGGTGTGCTGCTTCCCACGTGGTGGGTCTGTGTGACTGAGTGCAGAGTGGGTCTTCAAGAAAGGCTGGGTAGGGCCGCGCCAGCCCTGGTGGAACTAGCCGGGTGTTTCCCCTGCAGGCCCTGGGGACAGCTTCTCAGGCATGGAGCCACACAGTCACCAGGACACCACTTGGGTGCACAGTAGGGCCATGGAGCCCAGCAGCACAAGGTGCAGGTCCAGGCCTGCCCCTACTGACACTTGTTTCCTTGTCTGTTCGGTGGGTGTAGCGATAGTTTCCCCATCCTGGGAAAGCTGTGAGGGTTCAGTGTCAGGAGCAGGTCAAGTGCATAAAAGGGTGCCCATCTCAGTAGGGGCCTCAGTCAGAGCCCAGAGCTGTTCAGACCCTACTCTCCAGACACAAGTCTGCAAGAGCACAGGCAGACGGGTGCAGCAGGTGGCCACCCCTGGCTTCGGCCTCAGCTGGGTTGGGGACCATGGGGAGAAGCTGACCCTGAAACTTCCAGGGTGAGGGTGACCTGTGGTCAGCCCCTCCTGTGCAGAGCACCCAGGAGGGGGCTTCTTGTTCTGGTTTCACTGAGGCAGGGTAGCCTCCCCAGGGGGCCCTCCAGATGCTGGGCAGGTAGCCAGCGAGATAAACACCCACCAGGCACTGCCAATTGGTGGCGACTGGGCAACCCCCACACCCCCTCAAGAAAGTTTTTAAATCTTTATTTTTTATCTATTTATTTTTGAGACAGGGTTTTACTGTATCACCCAGTCTGGAGTACTGTGGCACGGCTCACTGCAGCCTTGACCTCCTGGACTCAGGTGATCTGGAACTACAGGCACATGCCACTTTTTGTTGTTGTTGAGTTAGTATCTTACTCCATCGCCCAGGCTGGAGCGCAGTGGCACACTCATGGACATCCAGCGTTAACCTGCTGGGCTCCAGCAATCCTTCCGCCTCAGCTTTCCAAGTAGCCGGAACTACAAGCATGCACTATCATGCCTGGCCAATTTTTTATTTATTAGAGACGAGTTCTTGCCAAGTTGCCCGGGCTGGTCTCAAACCCATAGACTCATGCAATCCACTCACCTTGGGCTCCCAAAGTGCTGGGATTACAGGCTGAGCCACCGAGCCCAGCCTACCTAACTAATTTTTAAATTTTGTATAGAGGCAAGGTCTTGCTATGTTGCCCAGGCTGGTCTCAAACTCCTGGACTCAAGCAGTCCTCCCACCTAGGCCTCTCATAGTGTTGGGATTACCGGTGTGAGCCACTGCAACCAGCTGTTATGTATTAATATTTTAAAAGCAAAAAAGGCCAGGCACAGTGGCTCATGTTATACTCCCAGCACTTTGGGAAGCCAAGGTGAGAAGATTGCCTGTGTCCACGGGTTCGAGACCGGCCTGGGCAATTTGGCAAGACCTCATCTCTACAATAAACAAAAAGAAGTAGCTGGGCATGGTGGCATGTGCCTTTAGTTCCAGCTACTTGGAAGGCAGAAGTGGAAGGATCACCTGAGCCCAGCAGGTCGAGGCTGCCGTGGCCATGAATGTGCCACTGCACTCCAGCCTGGGCAACAGAATGAGACTCCAACTCAAAAAAAAAAAATAGGTGCACCTGCCCACCAGACACCTGATCTTGCAAGACCGCCATTAAAGTCTTGCTTCTGCTGCACTCCAAATAAATAAGTAGCAAAAACAAACAAAAAACCCACGTTCCTTGTAGCAGTTAACATCCAAATAAGGTAGAGGTAGAGGCCGGGCTTGGTGGCTCAACCTGTAATCCCGGCACTTTGGGAGGCTGAGGCAAGTGGATTGCCTGAGCCAAGACCTGTCCGGGCAACTGGGTGAGACCTCGGTTTCTACAATAAATCAAAAACGAGCCAGGCGTGGTTGCTCATGCCTGTAGTTCTGGCTACTTGGAAGGCTGAGGCAGAAGGATCACCAGAGCCCAGCAGGTTGACGCTGAGCTGGCCGTGAGTGTGCCACGGCGCTCCGGCCTGGGCGACAGAGTGAGACTCCAACTCAAAAGCAAACAAGGTAAAAACATGTGCCACGCACCCTGGTGCAACCTCTTGGAAGCTGGTAGCCTCGGTCTCCCACCAAGATGCCTGGTCTGCCACCTGCGTTCTTGTTCCCTTCCTTGTCAGTGCATGTGGCGCTGGCTGGTTCACGACTGCAGTGCTTGAATGCCCCAGAGCCAGCTCAGCCTCCCCTGTGTGCCCTCCAGGAGTCCTGAACTGGAGGAACACGTGCTGCGGGGGACGGTGGCCGTGCTGCTGGTGGCTGTGGCGTGAGGAGCCACAGAAGCCACCTCGGAGGGGCCGAGAGATCCTAGAGGGCCCTTGCACCAGCCTCCATCCCAGGACCCATCGTCGACGCCTGCAGCCCAGTAAAGGGCCGCCCTCCATTCCTGCGTACCTCCCTCCCCTTTGTTCATCCACCCCTGCATCCTTGTCTCCCTCCATCTCGGCATCCCTCCCTCCCTCCCTCATCCCTGCATCTCTTCGTGTCCATGCCGCCATCCTCCATTCCTTCATCTTCCATCGGTCCATACCTGCATCCTTCCATCCTTCCATTTCTCCATCCTGCCCTGCATCCTTCCGTTTCTATATCCCTCCACCTCTCCGTTTTCAACTCTTCCATCCTCCATGCCTTCATCCATACCTGTGTTTTGTCTGCTCTAAGAAACCAGCTGCAATCCCTCACGGTTAATCACAGACAAGAGGCAGAAACTGGGAGAAAAGTGGGCTAATTTCTGCAAACAGGTTACAGGGAGATGGGTTGGCGTCATTGCCAAACAACCCACACAAATTCATCCCAATATTTATGTCTAAAATTAATAGCCCTTCACCCACCCCACGTTTGAAGCCTATGTGCAGTTTTAGCATGACTCAGAATTTTCTGACCAGGAAAGTCTCCTGGTCATGCTGACATTTTTAGATAACATTCTGGAACTTATAACATATTATTTTACAGTTTTCCAGAGAAGGGGACAGACAATTGCAACATTTGGAAGGAATGGAAAGTCACATCATTTAAAATGATAGCTTTACATTGTTTCATTGTTGTCATTGTTTGCTGTTTTTGGGTAGGAATCTCAGTCGCCCAGGCTGGAGTGCAGTGGCACACTCATGGCCACCGCAGCCTTGACCTGCTGGGCTCAGGCAGTCCTGCCTCAGCCTTCCAAGTAGCTGGAACTACAGGCACACATTTAATTTTTTGCTTTATTGTAGAGAGGCGGTCTCGCCAAGTTGCCCAGGCTGTTCTCGAACCCGTGGGCTCAGGCAATCCTCTCACCTCAGCCTCTGAAAGTGCAAGGATTAGAGGCTTGAGCCAGCACACCCTGTCTTCATTGTTTTAAAACACAGTGGTAACAATCCCTTGTTTCCAGAGCCCTGGCCTATAACCATCCAATGCCCTCATACTCACAGACAGAGGGGAAGTGGGCACTGCCCACGCCAGACTTCAGACACACTCCTGCTCTCCGTGTCTCTTCCCAACTATCAAGTAGTCTGGCATAACTGGCTGTTTCTTCTCCAGTGCCCGGAATGGCTTTCTAGTCAAGATTGGACTTCCAGCCCAGTCAGGCAAGCAGCCACCTTCTGAGGGCAGTGTGGGGACAGGGAAAACGTGCACTTGTACCTTCAAGTGGCTTCTAGGTTTAGCCCAGCTCAGCTACAAAAAAAAATTTGGTAATAAAATTAAGCCTTTTCTAAATGACTGTTCTAATATAACCCAGTGGCCTCTTTTCAGCCTGTAACGCCTGCGTCTCTCGATCTCTGCATCCCTCCATTCAACATCTCTCTGTCTTCCTCCTCCGTCCTCCACCCCTCCATCCTCCATCCCTCCTCCTTCCATCCATCCTCCATCCTCCACCCCTCTGTCCCTCCATTCTCCACCCTCATCCCTCATCCTCCATCCTTTGTCCCTCCATCTCTCCATTCTCCACTCTCCCATCCCTCCCAAACTCCATCCCTCTATCCCTGCCCCCCACCCTCTCTTTCCCTTCTCTTCAGGGGCAGGCTCTTCCCGCCACCCCCATGCCCTGCGAGGGGTTGCTTGGTCCCTGTCCGGCTGCACGGGGAGACCAAAGCACCTCTCCCTGTCTCAGCCCAGTTTCCCTAAAGGGAGTATCTGTCGTGCCCAGCTTGTGGCAAGGTGTCCAGCCTCTGTCCCTGACCCCGGCCAGGGGAGCGCCTCACCACCCACAACCCCACCCTGTGGGGCTCTCTGTCCTTTCTGCGGCTGCCCAGCCCGGCGAGTGTGGCCTCTCTCTTCAGCCTCCCCTTGAGGCCCCGGCAGGCCGGCCTGAGCTAAGAGGCCTCTCTCCTTTCTCCTCTTCACAGACTTCTGTCTTCCCTTTATTGGTCACTGAACCACTGGAACAATGGCCTGACTTTGGTCTGGGGCTTTTCCCCTGGGGCTGCTGTGTGTGGGGAGGAGCCTTGATGAAATATCGCAGGACTGTGCTAACCAGACCTGTTTCGTGACAGACTGGAGGGTGGCCAGTCAGCCCGAGGCCACCACGGGGCACCACCTGGGCCAGCTTCTTCCCCAGAGTATCCCTCCCGGAGGAGGCGACAGCCCTGCCTCAGTTTTCCCAAATGTTTCTCGGTTAGGCACCGTAGCCCGTTTTCCCACAACCACCAGAGGGCACTAGAGTCTGCCGAGCCCCTCAGGAGATGGCAGCAAGACCTCGTGCTGCCGCCTTGTGCCCAAGTCTAGGATTGACCGAGCAGCCTTCCTCTCCTGGGGACCACTGCCTACCTGTAAGTGGGTTTAGCATGTAAGGCTCTGAAGATGAGTGGGCAGGAAAAAACACGTCTCTCCCAGGAACCCTGTCAGGCTCAGGTTGTGGGATGTCCCCCGTGGCCTTGGTGGCGGCTGAAGGCCTGAGTTCAGAACACGGCCACTGCCTGCTGTGACCTTGGGAGAAGCCTCACCCCTCCTGTGAAATGGCATCAGCAAACCTCCATGGGGTTGGTGAGGTCAGGGATGGGAAGTTGGACTGTGATACACAGAGTCAGTAT